AATGGTCCTGAGTTCAATTCCCAGCAACCACATGGTGGCTCACAACCATCTGTAAAGAGGTCTGGCGCCCTCTTCTAGCCTTCAGGCATAGACAGAATATTGTATACATAATAAATAAATAAATAAATATTAAAAAAAACAAGCATATTGTCAGCTGTTTCAAGGGGAAATGAAGGGAGTGATGTGGGATTCCCTCTATGCTATGAATATGTTTTATTACCAGCGGTTAATAGAGAAGCTGCTTTTGGCCAACGGCTTAACAGAATATAACCATGCTGGAAAAGATACACACACACACACACACACACACACACACAGAGAGAGAGAGAGAGAGAGAGAGAGAGAGAGAGAGAGAGCGCGGAGTTGAGAAGATGCCATGTAGCTGCCACGGAGACAGATGCCCTGGAACCTTACAGGTAAACCATGAGCCTTGTGGTAAAATACAAAATAAAAGGAATGGGTAGATTTAAGATGTAAGATGTAGCTAGGAATACGCTAGAGTCATTGGCCAAGCAGTGTTGCAATTAATATAGTTTCTGAGTGATTATTTCGGGTCTGGGCAGCCAGAAAACAAATAAACAGCCTCTGCCTACTGGGAGGGGCATGAAGGGAAGCCCCGCACAGAGACAGCGTCTGGAAGGCTAACCAGGCTGTGCCAGTCTCCAGTAGAGTTGGCGCGGGGTGGGGGTGGGGGGACAGAACGCACTGAGTCTTCAGACTCGATGGAACTTAAAGGATGGGAGCCCTGGGTCACCGTGACACTGGGCATCCACGTGGGACTCTCAACAGTTAGCAGGCGGACAGCTTCTGACATTTACACCTCACATCCCTGGACCTGAAATAGTTGCTAAATTGCCATGCAATTCACAGTCCTGGAGCAGCGCTCACTCCACCTGAACACCATTCACAACTTGATCTTTCTGAATTTGAGAGAGGAAGGAAAGTCCAGGACTCAGACGGTGTCTCATCGCTTTAAAGCAACCCCCTGAAGCCTTTCTGAAAACACCTTTTCCAAAGTAACTGATGATTACAGCTCCCCAGACAATGTCCTCAGATACACACTGGAGAAACCGAAGGCAGCTGAAGCCCGTGCAGACTCCAGACGCCTTTACAGAGTCCGTTACCTGCCGAGGGCGATGCTGCTTGTGCCAGCAAACTGAGGCTGGACCCTTGCTTCTGGGTTAGGGACCCAAGCTGAAAAGGGTCCGAGGATGGCCAGTGTGAGATGCTTTCCTCGGAAAGAAGCAGGCGGCTATGGAGATCAGACCGATTTCTGCCCTCTTTCCCCCAAATTCATCATTAATAATTAACGCTAATTCCATAATTCCCTTCTATTTGTAGAAGTGAGTCCCCGAGGCCCTCTCTCCTCGTAAACACTTTGCAAGGGTGGTTATTACATGTGCTTGCTTGAAGGTAGGGAAGTGCTAGTTCATAGACTATGCTGTAATTAGACACCTTTACACATTTAGCTTGGTTTCATCTTATTTGAATACTTAATAATTCAATTTTAAGGCATCATGCTGTATGTCTAACACCCTTCCCTTCTGTAAATCATAGAAATTATTTCTCTAATCTCCTTCATATTCCTTCTTCATTATAAGTTTTTAAATTTTAATTAACTTTTTTTTTTTTGAGTCAGAGAGTCACTCTATACCCTGAGCTGAGCTTAAACTTGCAGCAATCCTCCTGCCTCAGCTCCTCTGTGCTGGGATTACAGCTGTGAATTAGCACGCTTGTCAGGGCCCTTAGTGTTTCTGAGACTTTCCCATTCCTAAAGTTCCAAGATGGTCTTTGTTCTTGAAGGGAAGAAGTCAGTCTTTAAGCGCACAATGAAGGAGGAGCCTGAGACCTGGGAAGGGTAGCTGGTAGCCACGGAGTGGCTGCTGCAATCACTCAGCCTGATCCTACCTGTGGGGATGAAGGGTACACAGGCCACCCTGCCAAAGTCTGCTTTTCTCATCTGCAAAGTGCTGACTGGCTCACTCAGAACAGACCAGCAGCCTGCATGAAGACGGAGTGTGCACCTTAGAGATGCGGAGTGTGCACCTTAGAGATGTTAGAGATGCAGAGAAAAACTGCCTGATCTCCTGGCTCAAAGGTGGACACTGCTCAGGATGTGACCCCGCCCTCAGTGGCGCACAATAAACATTGGTTTGTGTTTAGTTTTGTTCTCGTTTTTTCCAGACACTATCTTATTAAGTAGCCTAGGCTGGCCTCCCATTTACAGTGATCTTCCTTCCTCTGTCTCCCAAATGCTGGGATTACAGGCGTGAGCAACCACATGCAGCCCTGGCTTCTTTGGCTAATAACAGTTTGGGAGCTGCTACCTCTGACGATAAAATGGGTTAGCCAAAGAAGCTGTAAAGTGTCTTCCCCTTAAAACAAACGAACCCCAGCAGGGCGGTGGTGGCGCATGCCTTTAATCCCAGCACTCGGGAGGCAGAGGCAGGGCGGGTCTCTGTGAGTTTGAGACCAGCCTGGTCTACAGAGCTAATTCCAGGACAGGCTCCAAAGCCACAGAGAAACCCTGTCTCGAAAAACAAAAAAACAAAAAAACAACAACAAAAAAAAGAACCCCAGGATAAAGTCGTCATAAGAACAGACCAAGGGTTGAGACTAGGGACCTGTCCTGCACAGTGGTGTCTTTCTGACTGTGACCTAGAAGAAGAAGACACTAGAGCTACTTTACCAGTAATTAAGATGAAGAAGGGGAATCCTTTAGAGGTCTCTGCCTCACGGGAGTGCCAAGGAGGAAGGCATAGGCATGCAGTCCCTGACCATAGCATGTCAGGTCCTATCCCTTAGTGCTTGCTAGGACAAGGCAGGGCCTGGAGTTGAACATGGGCAGAGACTGGACATTGGTTTAAGATCACTAGTGCCTGTGTGGGACCTGAGGCGGGGCCGTGGCTTGGGGTGGATCATGGTGTTGATGCCACACAGGAAGAAGGCTCGGTCAGAGGCCTGAGATGGCGAGGCTGGACAGAGGACCCAGAGAGGAACACCACCCTTGCTTCCGACTGTTCTGACTTCATCTTGCACCGGGAAACCCACAAAATGCCTTCCTGACGAAATACCCCTGCTGTGCAAGGATCCAGGGGCTGTGCTGTGGAAAAGACCCTCGAACTGAAGCAAAGAGGTAGAATGCCAGACCAGGAAGCAACTTCCCTCCATGGCGATATAAACATGTTCCTTCTGGGGGAAAAGGAAGTCACGGGAAGGGTTTGTGACACAGAGCAGTCTGTGTGAGGGCGGATTTGCCTGGCTCAGTGTTCTGAAACGAAGGGGAGTTCAATGCAATGACTTGGAGAGATGAAGGGATTGTCTAAACAAGAAATCCGTTTCTCAGCAATGGCCTTCCCCATCTCAACTGCTATAGCAGAGCTCATGTCTTACGCACACAGCACTCCTCAGAGGATCCAAGGAATCACAAGCACAGAGCTCCTGTGTAAAGCCTGCATGAAGCCTACATGGGCCTGCATGAAGCCCACATGGTTTGAGGTCAAGGCTGAGACCCTCAGTAGCCCCAGTTCTGAGAAAATGGCTCCAGCCTTGTCCAAACACATCTCAGGAAAGGCCCACACCTTTTGCAACTACAGAATTTACAAACACTTGCCCAAGCTTCTTTCTATGGCAGCTAAGGAGCCCAGTTTTGCTTGTGAGAGCCCATGCAGTGGGCTCCCACAGGGTCCACCTCAGCTCAGCTGTGACCCGGGCTCCTCACTGCTCCTAAGCTGTATGAGCAGCACGGACGACTTCACAACGTGCTGTGAGGCCAGTCATAGCAAACCCTAAGGTCCTGCCCACCCTGCCCACATTCGTATAAACAAGGCAGGAAGGGGCCATTTGGAAAGGGTTAATGGGGTAGTCTCATATTCTCCCAGCAACAGAAGTAGCCGGAAGATAGGCACGATAAAGCAACATGAGGAAAGAAACTGTCCCATCGACAATAACTCTAAGGATACCTAACATCTTTTAGAGACGGGGCTTCAAGGTAAGACACTGGTGAGTCACTGTTTGCAGATGAGAAGTACTTGCTCCTGGACAAGCCAGGGTCTCCAGGCCTTCAGGACACTTGCTGACCCTCAGAGGGCCTCACAGGCTGGCCAGGCTCTGGGAGCCTCGGTTTGTTTATTCCACAGACACAGATCCCAATGAGACGCAGCTTCCCATGGGCAGGCTCAGCTCTGGTTGTGGGGAGAAGCCACTGCCCGTCTGTGGGACACTTGTCTTAACTCGGAATGTTCCCGGAATCCTCAGATACGTGGTTTTCCAAGCAACCGTGCCAGATTGTATCAGTCTACCCAAATGACCCACTAATGTCTAATTTCAGTACACTAAATATAATTCAGGCGCGATACTTTAAATGTCTTACTACCAAAAGTGACTCCAAAATACACGTGTCAGTTTGAAAGTCGTGGCAAACAGGGCTCTACACAGACCTGACACTTCAGCAAGGCAGCACGGAGACTGTATGTGGGTACGGTTCTATGCATTTTCCCATCCTCAGACCTGTATCCGTGTCAGCCTGTGTTCTGTCAGGATGCAAGGGTCAGGATAGTGGGAGCTACTGTGTATCTTCTGGAGTACCCGAGGAAAGACTAGGCCCTGGACTGGAGGCACCCTGCTGAGCAGGCAGCTTGTGGTCCTGACAGTGGAGAGGCTACCAGTGTGTGTGTGCTCTAAGAACTGGCAGGTACACGATTGGCCAATTTAAACAGACATTCTGAGGATGCGGCTGTGCCTTTCCTCACCAGCACTTGGAGCTACATCCCGGGACCCGGTCTGCACCGTTCCTATGTGAGCATGCATCCAGAGTCCAAGCCCTACATGCTAGGATAGTGGCTGAACCTTCTATCATCATGGCTTTGATTAACTTCACCACCTGCCATAGCAAACACCAGAATTGTAAGGCCTGTTTATACCATTAAAGCCCTGATGAGCATGTTAACAAACCCTCCCTCCCACCACCATGCATTCGGAGAATGCTTTGCTTACATTACCTTGGGGTCCATACTGGCTCATCTGTGGACCGTAAGTGCCACTTGAGTTACTCTGCTGAAAGTTACTGATTCCAGGATGCATCTGGCCCCCAGGAGAAGGGTGGGGTGACATGGATGGTCCTGCCTGCTGAGGTCCGTACTGAGACATCTGGGGGTTTCTCTGTGTGCCTGCCATAAAACCTACATGGGAAACAAACAGAAACAGTCACGCAGGTGTCTTATCATTTTTGTATACACAAAGAATCTGTGGGATCCTGTAGAAGGTAGATGGGGAGAGGGTTGGGATCCCTTGGCTCCTCCAGAGAAACATCCAAAGGCATCTCAAATCCAGGGCAGAAGATCTGGGAGAGTGTCATGGGGGCCAAGAGGAAGTCACCACTACCTCCTCTGTAGATGGGCCCATAGACAGAACAATCAAAGCAGGGCACCTGCTGCTCATTCCAGGACGGGATGGGCTCAGTGTCTTCTCTGTAGGGCACAGGTCTACAGCACCGGAGCGCCTTCCCTTGCACCCTCGGCTTCCCTCCTGATAGCCTGAGCACCCATGAGGAGCCAACACACAATGCGCTGCAGGGAGCCGGCCCATTGTGTTTTGCACCTCAGCAGAGTTTCCAACTTCCACCCTTGAATCTGCCCTGTCATCCAGTTATACCTGTGTGTGACGTCACCACAGGACCAGAATCTGCTCTGCCAGCCACAGTGCCACCTGTGTGTGACGTTACCACAGGCCCAGCCGCTTCTGTTAACAGTCCCCTCTCCCTGTTGTACACTGGCTCATCTCTTCAGTCCTAGTTCTGCAAAGCCTGCCTCCTGCTATTGGTCTAACTATTCAAGCCCCTCCTCTTAGTCATCACTACAAAGCCGTAAGAGCTAACGTTCAGGACTAAAGAGAGGTACCAGACAAACCCTTCACTGGCACGAAGCCCTTCACAGCTTCCTGCAGTACTGAGGTCTGCAATACACCGTCTGCTGGGGGCCCCTTATGTGGACCCCACTGACACAGCTTCTCTCCCTCTGGTGTCATGTCTATCTGCCAGCCTTCTGTCCATCCCAGAAGATTGTATCAAGCGCCGTCCTTCAACAAAATTGAATTCTGCCCTGTCTCGACTTCTTAGAAGTCTCTTCATGTGTGCGTCCTTCTACTGCGTTCCGACCGCCCAGCTGCACCTTTCCCACACTCTCTCCGATGCCTTCCAAGTCCATTTCATCACCTCTACGTGCAGCATCATTTCGACACGCCTATGTGGTGTGTACATGCATGTTCACATGTGTGTGGGTGCACCTACTGCACATGCGTGTGAAGGGCCGAAGTTGCCATCGGGTGTCTTCCTTGACCACTCTCGATCGTCTTTACGTCTCAGCGTCTCTCGTGGAACCCAGGCTTAGCAGTTCCGGCTAGTTCAGCTTGCCAGCTTGCCCCAGGGTTCCAGCCTCTGCCTCAGTGCAGAGGTCAGAGACTGCTACCACATCTACCTGGCTCTGACATGTGCTCTGGTATCTAGAGACTTCTCCATGTGTGGAAGAAAAGCTCCAAGGAGTCTTTCTCCAGCCACTAGACTGTTTTTAGCTCACTTATTCCTTCTCTTCCTAAGAAATGCCACAAAACAAAACAAAAACCAAAGATCACGTCTCACTCAACACCTCAGCCTGTCTGTGGCACACGGGATGCATCCCACACCTTTTTAGGACCCAATGCAGGCTGGATCTCCCTGGACAGCACACATCTGGTGTACTCCCTGTACTGGGAGTCACACACAGGTGGGACTGTGGCTGGCATCACACACAGGTGGTACCGTGGCTGGCAGAGCAGATTCAAGGGTGGAAGTTGAAAACTCTGCTGAGGTGCAAAACGGGCAGTACCACACCCGACCCAAACTGCTTCCTGAATAACTGGACGGATGTCCAAGATGCTGCCGAGCATAACACAGTAGGTTCTTGATAAACAGGCATTTTAAATGCACCAAGAAACCACATGCTTAAATTCTGCAGAAATACAAAGTTAGCAATACCCCCTTGAGCAGCCTAGGCCAACAGAAGTATGTGTTCAAAGTAGCACACTGACAAAAGGCAACCTGAGACAGGTCGCCATCGCAAGCGTGTTGGGGGAGAATGCTCACGTTCCTCAGTGGGGACTCTGGCTGGGGAGAGGCAGGTGTGCCTGTTCAGAGCTGCAGGGAAAGACAGGCCAGCAGGAAGGCAGGAAAGTGCAGGAAAGCAAAACCACCAGGTATCGGAGGCCGGGGCTTACATTTCCTGAGAACAAAATGAGCTCTCCTAACACGGCTTCTGCCTAGAGACATACAGCGAAAGCGAGGAGAGCTTCTTATTATCCATCTAATTTATTTATAAAAAGGAATCTTATGAAATTGGGCTCAATTGGCAGCTCCTAGATAGAAATCATCAGAGAAAATGTTTGCTTTGCCAATCTGAAAACAAGCGGGAATCAGGGCACTGGCATTACTCTAAATGACTGCATCTTCAGATGTTCCACGAAGCTGTATCCGAGCTTTCCTCGGAAATCCTCCAGGTTTTCAGACAGTGTCCTGGCTAACAGAAAAGGCGCTTCAGCTCCACGGGGCTGTGTGCGACCGCTTCCCTCGTGGCTGGTTAGCGCTGCCATGCTGGCCCTTTCAGAATTCAGCTGTCCCTCAACTGTGCAGGTGTCCGTGCTCGAGTAGAGAACTTTATCTCAGCAATCACCAACTAACTGTGCCGGGCTGGGGACAGAAAGCCTGCTCCCAGGGTTTGTGTCCTCAGTTCAGAATCTAGTTGGTTAGATATGCAAATGAATTTATTGCAATGCTACTATACTTGCAATTTTACATAATTTCTCTGGGGCCCCAGTTGCCTCCTCTTAAAGACTCCTGTAAGGTTCAATAGAGTCAGCATGGGAGAGTCCTGCAAGATGAAAGGTGAATTCCTGGTCTACACATCACCAAGGATGCCTTTTGACTCCGGACACAGCATCCATTAACAAAGGATAAGCTGATGCTTACCACCTGGGGACTCAGGCGTGTACACGTTCCAAGGGGTTTGGGAAAGGCATGTCCTGGGAAGCGACCCACTTGTTCTGCTTCCCACCAGAGTCTCCTGCTAGGGCAGCCACTGCTTCGGTGCGCTCTTCAGGAGCTCTACAGTGTGCAGCTGCGCTGCACTTTCTACTTTTCTTCTCGTAAGTGAATCGGAATGAATGCTGCTCCGGGCTCCTTTAGGATCCCGTGCTCCTGTCGTCTGTACGCATCAGCTACTGTCTTCTGACAGTCTCCTGCAGACAGCAGCGACCTCCCAAATGCACAGACTTACAGCCTGCCCTGCGCTCTGCAGAGAGCTGGACTCTTGGTTCGAATACCAGCACTGGCCAGATGATTCCACGATAGCAAAGGGACAGGACCTGGCACACTTTTCAAGCTAATGCTGCTGCAATGTGCAGAATAAAGAAAGGACTGAAGGGGAGCGGTGTTTAGAGTGACAAGGCCAGCCAGAGACTCACACGGTGATATATCAGTCGATATAGACTCACAGCTGGCCACCAGCAGGAATCCTACTTCTAGTCCCTCCCCTCCCCCGAAGTGCTGGGACTAGGACCTGGGACCTGGTGCATGATAGGCGTATACCACTGAGTTATACTCCCAGGCACCAGGGCGTTCAATCTTTAAACAGTTACGGAATACTGACATCATCTTCTAAAGAGATTGGTGAAAAGTGAGCAGAAGTTGCTTGAGAAAGAGGTATTTCCCCTCTATCTAAATCTAGAACAGCATGTACATACTTAGGATATGTTTCCCCATTTGTGATGTGGGGACAGACATACTGTGAGGAGAAAGCCACCATAAGAAGACCTAGCCCCATCAGCTCCCAATAAACACCACTAAGAGCAACTAGCCTGTCCCCAAGTGGTCAGCAGGAGCGTGGTCTGGGTCACGGCAGCATGGTTGGGGGCTAGTTTGGTGTCAAGGTCTGCTGTGTAGACGCCAACTAGTCTCTTAAGCTCTGCATGCCCCTTCTCATCTTAGGGGCTCGACAGTGGCCCAGCACGCCAGCTCTAGTTAGCTCTCCGTCATTTCAGTCAGACATATTTGTTGTCTCCTGGGGGAGGGGCTGTGCCTGCAAGTTCTTTGGACTTGGTCATTAAATTGTTTTCGCTATTATTTTAAATCTTCACAGAAGGAAATGGGTATTATAAGCATTTCTTCTCCCTCAAAAGGAAAAAAAATCAAATTTCAGTAAAAATGTTTCTGCCTATTTATGGTGTTACTGTTTATTTGCTTGTATTTTGCTTTTAGGAAGTTATTACAGAATGGCAGTTTGTGACAGTGGAGAAGAGAAAACCTGACAGCTGAGAGAACACAGCTGTACTTGTACAAGGTGTGAAGTGTCGCTCGCTACAAGCCAGACTTTCTAGCAAGGGAAGCTTAGAGAGTATAGGATGAAAAGCCTCTGCACCGAGCCACCGTATGTAGTAAAGAATCACATGTCCCAACCAAGCATCTAGCAGGAGGAAATGCAAATGTGGGACCAAGGCAATTATCTGTATTATACAGAAGAATGTTTATTAGAAATGCCCATGAAGATAAAACTTACATGTCTCTCTCACACACAAGGAGTTTCCTACGTAAATGAACTGCCTCTGGGACCGTACACAGCTACATTCCTCACAAACACCTGCTTTCTCACACTGCAAATGAGAACAGTCACGGAAATCATGCTCTTTAGGAGGGAGAAACCTGAGCAGGCCAGGAAAGATGCACAGCCTCTGACCTGCCTCTGCCACGGGAGACCGTGAGCATCCACACAGGGCACGGGTGACTGTGAGCACCCATGCGGCGCAGGGCATGGGACACTGTGAGCATCCACATGGGGCAGAACAGGCTTTCTTTCCCTGGGCCATGGGATCATTCTGAGAGTCAAGCAGGGAAAGTGTACATGAAAGCGCACTTCTGTGCTGAAGAGCCCCGTGGATGCTATACAAGGCAGTTATTGCCTGACAGTGAGCCTACCAACACTTATTCATTGTGTGAGCACCAACCTAAGCCACCAAGCTGGTATCTAGGTTCATGACAATGTTACACAAATCTACCTGCAGGCCCCATTCTACTCTAGCCTTCATCAACTAAAGAAGAAAAAGAACCTTTTTAGAGGAAAAGATGAGATCCTGTGCTACTTATGGATTTAAATACACA